TGAAAACACCAACTCATGACAAAATTTAAATCATACTTATCCAGAAAATGATTGCTAAAAATACAAATGAACAGTAAGCAGTCCATGAGACAAAAAAGGTATTTCAAGCACAACACAAACTGTTCAGTCACCTAGCATTTATTATTAAGTGCCTTCTATGTACCAGGCACAATGTTAAGTGTTGGTGATACAAAGAAAGGTTAAAAAAAAAACAATCCCTGCTCTCAAGGAGCTCATGTTATAATGGACAATAAACATGAACATGAACAAAACTATGTGAAAACAAAATGTTATATGGGAAAAATTGGGGATAGTCTCAGGAGAAAGGTACTAAGATTAAGGAAAACTAAAAAAGGCTTGTTGCAGAAGGAAGGACTTCAGCTGAGACTTGAAGGAAGCCATCAAGGAAGAGATGAAGCATGAGAGAATTCCAGGCATGAAGGACAGTCAATGAAAATTCATGGAGTTGAGAGATGAAATATCTTGTGCAGGTACAATAAGGAAGTAAATGTCACTGGATGGCACAGTATGTAGAAGGCAGTAGGTGTGAGAAGATTGGAAAAGTAGGAAGAGGCAAGTTATGAAGGCCTTTAAAAGGCCAAATCAGATTTTACATTTGGCCTTCAAGGCAATAGAGGCTACTAGAGTTTATTGAATGGGGATGGTGACATGGTCAGTTATGTGTCAGATCAATTTGAAAGCTGAGTGGATTCAGGACTGGAGTGGGAAGAGGTTTGATGCAAGGAGACCAACAATAGTCACAGAATGAGGTGAGGAGGGCCTGTACCAGAATGGTGGTGATCAGAGGAGAGAAGAGGGCATGTATTAGAAATGTTGTGAAGGCAGAACGGACAGGACTTGACCAGTGACTAGATAAACAAAATGAGAGAGCGGGTGAGGAATAGAAGATGGCATCCAAGTTGCTAGCCCTGGTGACTGGGAAGATGGTGGTAGCTTTTAGAGTCATAGGGAAGGTAGGAAGAGGAGAGGGACTTGTTGGGGGTGTGATGATGAGTTCAGCTGGTTTTGGTCATGTTGAATTTAAGATGTCTGTGGGACATCTGGTTTGAAATGGAAGTCATGAGATAGCAAAAGTATTGGATGGTGAGAGTAATCTAGGTTAAGGTTTAGAATGGCAAGGTCTTTGATAGGGTAGAGGGAAAAGAGATTCAAGAGAAGTAGACAGTGTAGAGTTGAGCTGGTTCACCAAGGGATCAAGATAGGGAAAGGAAAAGAATACAGCCAGGGCAGTGCTGATTGCTTGGGAAACAAGTGAGGGGTGAATTGATTGAAGGTAAAGATGAAGAACAGGTTTTAATGTTGCAAGCCAGAGGGAGAGTTGGAATGCAACAGATTATAATCAGATAAAGGAATTTTAGAGTTCACAACCATGGATATGGGGTACTTGTGGGTAAGGCCAAGACTGGTGACATGACCATCACTGTATATATCTGAGGTAGAAGAGTAGGTCATGGGAAATGAGTAAACTGAATAATTAAGAGCTTAGGGTATTTGTGGAAGTCCTTTACTATAAGGGCAGGAGGTGGGGAGAAGAGAAAGACTGTGAGCCAGATACCAAAGTCAATGAGGAAGGAAGGAGAGTGTTCTAGATATTTATAGACATCAGTTAAAAGAATCTTGATTGGCTTATAAATATCAGTTGAATGAACCTCAAAAGGTCACTGAGTGATGGTGGTAGAGGGAGAGTCAGGACATGGCACTGGGGGAGTAAGGAGCAATCCAACTCTCTCCCAAGATGAGTGAGTTGGAGGGTATGAGTGGAAGGGCATCAGGTCCTGGAAAGGGGAGCCAGGGAAGCTGTGTCATCAGGAAAGAGCATGAAAATGGAGCAAGTGAGAAAAGCAAAGGTTTCAGATGAAATTCCATCTGGTCATTCCTGAGATCACTGCCTTGGAACTGGAGCTTGCTGGTAGGAGTGGCGGCAGTGGTGGTGGTGGTGGTGGCGGCGGTGGTGGTGATGCTGGGGTGGGGGTGATGGTGGTGGTGGTGGTGCTGGGGTGGGGGTGGGGGGGAGTGGAGAGGGATGAGAATAAAGGAGTCATCAATAAAGAAAAGTGTTTGAACAATGGATACAGGAGATTCCAAATCATTGATATGAGATAGATATGACAGGTGGGAATTATGTTAATCATTGTGGAATGCATTCAGGTAGGTTATCATTATTCCCAAGGGTTCAGCCTCAAGTGGCATACTCTTGGGGTGTCAGGCAATTCTCTGTGTCTGAAGAGCAATGGTGATAGGGTTACTGTGAAGGGTGGCAAGCTATGTAGAGCTGTAGGTGGCTGGGGAAAGTGCCTGCCTTGAGAGTGGTGTTCTTCTCTATCAATATGTGCCATTCACTACACTAAGCCTCAGAAATACAAAGAAAGACAATAAGAAAAAATGTTGGTACCCTCAAGGAGCTTACATCCTAATGAGACAGAATAAAATAAATCTCTATACATGGAAGACACAAAGTAGAAGAGAAATAACCTCAGAGGGGAAGAAATTAGAAGCTGGAGGTAATGAGAAAGGCCTCCTCATGAAGGTAGTCACTGAGCTGAATCTGAAATGAAGCCTGGGAACTAGGAGTCAGAGGTAAGGAGAAGAACATTCCAGCTCTGAAGGATAGTAGATACTAAGGCCCAATACATGACCTGGGGCTTGGGGTGCAAGGAAGAGCAAGAATGCCTGGCCACTTGGATATTAGCGGTAGTAGATGGAACAAAATAGAAGATTGAAAATATAGGAAGGGCTCAAGGAATCAAGAGCTTTAAATTATAAATAGAACTTTTTATTGGATCCTGGAGGTAATAGGAAGCCGCCATGGTTTGTAGAGCATGGGGATGATTTGATCAGACTTACACTTTAGGAAGACCACTTTAGCAACTGAATGGTGGAAGAATCGGAACAGGAAGAGACTTGAGACAGAGAGACCCATTAAAAGGCTCTTGCTTATAAATCTGTCTATGTATGTATGTATATGCACGTATATGTACATGTATACCTACATACAATATGTGTATATAAGTATATATACATATGTATATACTTATATACACATATATTTAATTTGAAGAGTGCATTTATGGCTTGTTTAATTTCTTTCAGTAGTCTAGGCAAGAGATGATAAGGGCCCAAACTAGAGTAAATTGGTGTCTATGAGTAGAGAGAATTGGATATATATGAAAGATGTTGTGAAGGTAGAAATGATAAGATTTGGCTACAGATTTGCTAGATGGGGTAAATGAGAAAAAGGAGTTGAGAATGATATCAAGGTTGTGAGTCTGAGTAACTGGGAGATGGAAGTATCCTTGATATAGAGGCAAGTTTGGAAAAGGGGAGGGTTAGAGAAAAAGATAATGAGTTTGATTGAAGATGTCTTTGGGACATCCAGTTTGAGATGTTCAGTAGGTATTTGGATATGAGGTACTGGCACTGAGGAGAGAGTGAAATTAGGGCAGGATATGGAGATCTCAGAAAATACCTCTAATTTTGTTAGTGAATTATGAAGTAGACTCCTCGGCCGAGAGGGTGGGGAAGGTGCCAGGGGAGACTTGAGAAGAGATGAAGAGGGGTGGGATATCTGCTATGGAGAGTAATAGTGAATCATTTTAAAAAGACTGACAGCCCAGTTATGAGTAGATGATGTAAATTTGTAGTCAATCCAGTCAGTCAGTTTGGAGAAACACCTCATAATGAACCATGCCACTCATTGTTTCTGAGGACAAAACAGAAGGAAGAAATAGAAAGTGGAGGGAATCCCATGGTTCCAGCAGTTTTGAGTACACAAAACCCCTGCTGGATTCTCTTAATGATCTGAGTGGCAAGACAAAGACATTTCAAGGTTCAGTGCCAATCTCTTCAGTCTCCTGGAAAGTGACATCCATTTGTGCTTTCTCTCTCTTTCTCTCTCTCTCTCTCTCTCTCTCTCTCTCTCTCTCTCTCTCTCTCTCTCTCTCTCTCTCTCTCTTTCTCTCTTTCTCTCTCTCTCTGTCTCTCTCTCCTGAAATAGTTTTTATTTTTCCTGGAGTTAAAGAAATAAAACTCCCAGTGTTTTTAGTGATTTAGGCCCCCTTACAATTTAGAATATCTAAAAGGATTTCACTTGTTTACAAAGTGCAGATTTCTTACACTAACTTAGTCTAGCCACAGACCAGTTTGTCAGGCATGGCTTGAGGAATAGGCAGACCTGTTCCTTTTACTTGCTTCAGTGCTGTCTGGAGGGAGATGGATACTACATCCATTCAATTGGACTGAGGTAAATTTATACTGCTTTTGGTCCTAGGTCTGGTCTGCATTTCAGACCCTTCTAAAACCTGCTTCCTAGTCTTCTCTCTAGAACTTACATTAGTATCCTTCCCAACCTTCCTCATTTGCCATCCCAAGCTTTCCTTCCTGTGCAGTCACTGGTCCCCCTACAAGTCCTCTACAGCCTGTGAGCTCCCGATCCAGGAAAGCACTTCCCTCCCCACCCCCAAGTATTCCTACCACAGCTTCAGGCAGTACCAAAAGATCCTTTCAGACATTCCATTGCCTGTCTTCTAGAGGCTTCCATGCTCCTCCCTTACACAAGGGTCCCTCATTTCAGACTTTTTTTCTTTTTCATTTGTTTGGGTTGACTTGCTGAAAGCATATTCACTCAACTGTCATTAGAGGTATCAGTCAAATAAATAGCAAAAAATAGCTAGATTGATTGACAATCTAAAATGAAGCATTTGTTTAAATTAAATGAGGAAAATACAATTATTATTAGACTTAAGTCAAGGTGTCAAAACAAATGTATTTCATTAATAAAATTTTTCATTAAAAGGTGTTCATATGCCTCCTGTTTCAAGGCCTATGGTCTTTAAAACCAAACAAAAATAACCTTGGTTTTTCTATTCTTTTTCATTGATCATTGAAAAGAAAAAGGAAATACTTTTGGCAGCAATCTACCTGGCAATATTTCTTGGTTATTCTCTTTCATGATTGAAAATATTCTCCATTTTCTCCTTCAGATTCGTCTGACTTACACGTCTCTCAAATCACGCAAAAAATTGCCTTTGTGATAAATGAAGATGGCAGCGAAGCAGCAGCATCGACTGGTAAGACAGACATTTGTTTTACAAATAAATGGCAGGAAGGCTTAAGAGGAACAATTATCAGAGGTTCAGCTCCTGTCCATGGACATCACTCCTTCTTTTCCTCTACCTACTCTAATCACGCTACGTGATACTGAAATTGTTGCAGTAAGTTGAATATTCATTGTTCTGCTATAGCAAATACCTAGGGAATAGATCTACTGGTGCGTTAAAGCTCAGAGGGGCAACAGTGGATAGAGCCTTGGGCCTTGAGTCAGGAAGACCTGCATTTGAATCCAGACTCAGTCACCCCCTAGATATGTGGTCCTGGGCAAGTCACAACTCCTGCCCGCCTTATTTTCCCCATCTGTAATATAGAGATGACAATAATAGCACCTACCTATGAAATACACATGAATGAAATACCAATTGTAAAGCACTTAGAACAGTACCTGCCACACAATGCTATGGAAATGTTATTGTTGTTGTTATTATTATTGTATGTAAGCCAGGCAACATGTAAATTAGCATAATAAGGCTGCCTAGACGCAGAGAAGATACAATATATCAATTCAAAGATTTGGAAATGAAATTAAGCAAAGATTGTATCTTTTATTGAATTTCTAGGAATGTGTTTTAGACAAATGTTATTGATACTGACCTATGATATAGTCAGGTGGCGCAGTACAATGAACATTGGATCTGGAGTCAGGAAGATCCGAATTCAAATCTAGTCTCAGACACTTCCTAACTGTGTGACCCTGGGCAACTCATTTAACCTGCCTTCCTCAGTTTCCTCATCTTTAAAATGGGAGTAATAATAGCACTTATCTCCCAGGGTTGCGGTGAAGATTGAATGAGATAATTTTTGTAAAGTGCTTGGCAAACATTAAAATGCTGTATAAAAATGTTGGTTATCATCTTCGATTACTCTTATTCTTTCCTAGCTTTGCTGATTCCACTTTGGTGACTGTGGCCATTTACTATACCAGAATGATGCTTTCATGTTCCGCTTCCAATTAATGATGGTTTATGTAGTGCCTAAGCTTCATGTAATTCTGTAATACAGACCTTTTTTTAAAAAAAAATTTCTTTAAATCTAGGAGAACTAATTGGAAATTGAAGACTAACTCTAAGGAGTCTCTCAGTGATTTCTCTTAATGTCTAATCATACAATTTTTCAGTTCCAAATCAATATTTTCAAGTGCATGCCTTTTTAAAAAACTTCTCTTTTAATCTGTCTGATAAATGTCTATAAATTAGTAGCCACATTGAGAGCAGTGCTTCATTAAAACATGTCATTCAGATTAATTTTCAAATGGCATGCAATGTCAAGGAAATTTGTAGGTTAAATGGAGTGACTTTAAATATATCATTGCCATATTGTCATCAGCTGACGAGCTGGCCACTGCTCTGCATTGGGGGCTTTAAAAAGTTGCTCTGTAAGGCTAAGGAGGACCACCATAGCCTGGCAGCATAGAATTTCAGCACTAGAAGGGAACTCAGCAGCCATATAATGCAAATTTTTCACAAAAAGGGAACTTGTCCTTTGGGTGAGAATGTGGGGTAGGAACTGCATTCCCTTGCCAGATGTGTGTGTATGTATGTATGAAGTATGCATACACGCATGTATGTATGCATGTATGTAGTATGTACATATGTAAATAGGTAGATGTAGATGTGTAGGTGGATAGATGCACACACACAATTAGAGCTGAAAAGGAGCTTAGAAGACAGCAGGTTCAACTCTCATTTCATGAATGAGGAGACTGAGGCCCTAAGAAGTTAAGGGACTAGCCTAGAGACATACAGTTAGCAATTATCTGTGACAAAATTTGAGCCCAGGTCTTCCTGACTTTAAGTCAGAATACCCACACAAATACATACACTTATCTTATATATGCTATAAGACTAGAACTTTCTGGGACAGTTAGGTGGTGCAGTGGATACAGCACTGTGCTTGGAATCAGGAAGATTCATCCTCATGAGTTCAAATCCAGCCTCTGAAATTTATAAGCTGTGTGACCCTGGGCAAGTCATTTAATCTGGTTTGCCTCCATTTCCTCATCTGTAAAATGATCTGGAGAAGGAAATGGCAAATCACTTTAGTATCTTTGCCCCGCCAAAACCCCAAAGGGTCATGAAGAGTCAGACACAACTGAAATGACTTAACAGCAATGAATCTTCCTACAAGGATACGGGCCACAAATGAAGTGAAGGCAGAATAACTGACTTCTTGTCAAACTGAGATTCTGTGATTCTGCACAGTCCCTTGCCAAGGATTAACAACTGGAAGCAGAACCCAAGAAGGGCAAAGGCCTGACTGCTCTCTTACTGTGGGTTCCTTTATGGGGGTAGTTCATGGAGGGAGAGCAGAAGATGGGGTCCAGACCTGATAGTCATAAAATAGTAAAAGCATTAGAAGAAAGCTTCCAGAGAATTCAGTGGATTCTCTAGGGAGTCAATGGAAAATGTGAATGTGAATTGCAAAGGATGAGAAGGACCTGCTTTGTGCTTTGGAGAAAGATCAGTGATCTTCTCCAATAGGGAACCATTTGAGTTATTCAGACATAAACCAAAACACCTTTGAGTCAATAACTGGGGGTGAAAACCTAATGTTTCACACAGGCGAATGATGTGACTGTCACAGATCCCTGACTGAGCATACATTTTCTTATCCTTTTATGCTGCTAATCAAATATTTACAAAAGAGGAATAGATATTTTATGAATTTTTAAAAATCATTTAAAACCTCCCTATTTCAAGTCTTCAAGGATAAACAAGTTATTGCAAATTATAATATCAGCTGCATGAGACTGGTGCAGTCTAGAAGGAAGTAATCAGCTTTTTTTCCTGCTAAACATTGACAAACCCTAATAAAACACTAACAATAGCTAGTATTGACATAGAGCTTTTAGGCTTTCAAAGTGATTTTCACATATTATCTCATAGGATCCTCAAAACAATTCTGTGAAGGAGGGACTGTTGTTGTTCCCATTTAACAGATGAGGAGACGTGAGACTGAGGAGATAAAGGAACTTCCTCAGGGTCACATAGCTGGTGTCTGAGGCCCCAGGTCATCTTAACTCAAGGTCCAACACTCTAATCACTGCTAGCTGCAAAAAGAAGGGAATGAGAGAACACACAATCTGTAAACTACGAATCCAAACTAACAATGACAATGACAATAGCTGCCACTTAGATAGCACCCACTAGGTGCCAGGCACTGTGATAACCACTCTACAATATTATCTCATTTGATCCTCACAACAACCTTCGAAGGTAAGTGCTATGGTTTTCAGTTATTTCAATTCTTCAGGACCCTATTTGGAGTTTTCTTGGCAAAGATGATGGAGTGGTTTGACTTTTCCTTCTCCAATTCACTTTACAGATAAGGAAACTGAGGCAAACAAGGTTAAGTGACTTACCCAAAGTCATGCAGCTAGTAAGTGTCTGAGGCCAGATCTGAACTGGGCAAATGAGTCTTCCTGACTCTAGACCTGGCACTCTATCCATTGTGCCACCTAGGTGCCTACATTTGGCAAATATTTCAGGAACCCCTTGGCCAAAGCCCTGTTGGAACAATAAATTTCTTTCCCATTTAGCCAATAAATTGTTATTCATCCTTTGCTTGAAGACCTTTATTAATAGGGAAGCCTATCCACTGCCTCCCAAGGCAGCCCTTATCACTCCTGGGTGGTGCTAACTGTAGGAAATGTTTTCTTTACCTTTACTCAGTTCTTCTCTTTGTGATTTCTATCTGTAGCTCCTAGTTCTTCTATCTGAAGTTAAAGAAAAGGTCCCATTCCTCTTTCACATGAGAGTCCTCCAAATACTTGAAGATAGCTGTCCTGTCTTCCCTGAGTCATTTCTTCTCTGGGCTAAACATTCTCTATTCTTTCAACTTGTCCTCCTATGGTATAAACTCAAGGCCTTTCCCCCATGGCAGTTGCCTTCCTTGAAATTTCCCTCTAGCTCATCAATGTCCATTTAAAAAAGGTGCCCTACGCTGAACACACCACTCTGGAGGTCCTTACAGGAAAAAAACCTCCATGCATGCGCCACAAAACATTTGGGGATTTTGAGTTATGCATGTGTGTAGGGTTTCTTTTGAGAGGGCACATTTGGAGTAGCCCTAACAGCAACAAGAAAAATAAAAAATAAAACCTTCATGCTTATGGAACAATTTTGCAAAATTTGGTGAGTTTGGCTGTTCCAAGACAGTGAGAAATGCTCACCCCCTTCTCGAAAGCTGAAGAGTAGACAGGATGCAGATCAGACCTGCATCTTGAGGCAATGATGGAAGACCTAAGTCAGCAGCATGCATTGAGAAGGAATAGTTGGGTACTTGGCCAAGCTAGAATGCCAATTTTTCCACAGCTTCAACGTGATCTAGTATAGTGTGAGAGAGTACAATATAATTGCTGGCATTCTTTGCCAGCTAGCAGAACTGTATAGAGAAGAATACTTTCAAAATCATATGATACTTATCTTTTGCTCTTTATCACTCAAATTTATTCCAAATTTCTGTGTTTAGAAAATGCGTCATTTCTTCTGCATGTGAATTATTCAAACAATGTGGCCTTTCCTGCCTATTCAAAAACTCCACGCAGATATTTTCCTCTGAAGCTTTCCATTTCAACCAACCAATCCTATTGACAATGTGTTTTTGTTTGCAGGTGGGCAGGTGCCGGTAATCATGAGTCTGGATTCCAACCAGTTTGTAGCTAATCGGCCTTTCTTGTTTATTTTGAAGAATAACCCAACAGGTAAATTCACTGGGACCCCTGTGTTGAATGGTTTACTGATCATGGTAGCAATAAACAGGCTTCTGGAGCTGAGAGGTAACTGCAACCAGACATAATTTTCATATTAGAGTGTAGGTAATATGAAAAGCCATCTCCACATCTTTCCCTGCTTGGGATAAGACCAGAGGCAAGATATAGCGGGGACATATATTGCCATGTAAATTGGTACTAAAGGAAGACTGTCATATGACACCAAGGAGAAAGGAAAACAACTTATATCAGTCTGTCAACAAGCATTTTTTTTTGCCTTTTTTAGGCGATTGGGGTTAAGTGACTTGCCTAGGGTCACACAGCTAGTAAGTGCCAAGTATTTGGTCTGAGGCTGAATTTGAACTCAGGTCCTCCTGACTTCAGGGCCGGTGCTCTATCCACTGTGCCACCTAACTGCCCCCAAAAGCATTTATTAAACGTTTACTACGTACCAGGCACTGTCCTAAGACAAATAATGCAAAAAAAGAGACATTTCCTGCCCTCAAGGAGCTTATATTCTAATGGGCAAAGCCAACACATAAAAGTAGAGCTGAGAAGCAGGTAGGTGGAGGGGAGAGGTACCCTGGCTGGGCCACGGTGGTTAAGTCCAGAGAATTAAGAATGGCTGGTCTGGGGCCCTCCCCCAAAGTTGAGCTTCCAGGAAGAACTCACCAATACAAGAAGGCAGCCACAGGAGCAGAGTTAGTGGGGAGAGGGGGCCAATCAATCAACAATTATTTATATTTTTTAAATGTATCAGGCGAAGTGATAAGATCAAAAGAAATATGAAAAGGACAACATGAAACAATCCCTGCTCCTAAAAGACCTTACATTCTATCAGAGGAGAAGACATGTATTTATATAAGTACATATATATATATATATATATATCATGTATATATATATATGTGTATGTATATTCATACATACATATATATGAAATAAATCAAAAGTAATCGACAGAGGGCACTAGCGTTTGGGCTGGGGGAATCAGCAGAAGCTTCCCATAGGAAAGGGGCATCTTAGCTGAGCTTTGGAGACAGAGATTAGAGAAGTTTCTCCAAGAAAACTAGCTCCCGCAGGAAAGATTCATGATCAAATCCACACAGGCTGAATAAACTAGCTTCCACTAGAGTTAGAAAGGTAGCATGACACATTAAAAAGACAACTTAGCATATAGAATCAGGACAGATGTGAGGGTAAATGACTTACCCAGGGTCACACGGCCAGTATTTATTAGTGGTGGCACTTGAAATCAGCTCTTCCTGGCTGGCTCCCTACACCCGACTGCCTCTCTTTGTAAACGTTGGCGTGTTATATAAACGGCAGCTACTGTTACATTGGTTTGCATTCTTCCCAGTCCTACCAGATGCTGCCTAAGGGGACACCTGTATCTCTTGCAGCTGGTTACTGGCTGACCCAGGGGAAGTGCTGCATCTTGAAAAAAATGAATAGTTTTAGAACTTTCTTCATTCACCACAAATGCAGTGGTGGATAAGCCTATGTAGAAATGTGCTGAGAGTAGGTCATCTGAGCTATGCATCTCTGACCTTTAGATAACTATTATTCTCTAAAATGAGTATATAATCACTGAATCTCAAGAGCAGAGAGAAATAAAGCATCGGGGGGCACTGATGGGTAAGAGAATAACGGCATTTGGTGTGATTACGTTTGCCTTCTTTATTTTCCAGGTTCCGTGGGGTCAGGGTGACCTGCTTATAGTCTAAAGCCATGCAACAGTGATCAGCAAAACCACAGTGTAGCTCTGTACCAAACAAATCCCACTTATTATTTATTTGTGATGGCACTTAGTCAGCAGGTCTTAATGAAAATTTCCCCCTTTATGGTTAGTGTTGAGATGAGAAAGTCTAAAAAGGGGGGGGTGTCCTTAAATTTGTGTGAGGATGATGGACAGCTCATTTACTGGGGAAGTAATGGCTCCTGTAGGGAGAGGAGAAACTGGACAATATGCTGTCCTCATTTTTGCTTCTGCTGTCCTACTAATGCATACAAGATACTATTTAAAAGAGGAAGATGTTGACAAGCAAAACCATTGCACTCCACAGTGGATTTATGCTTTACATAAACCAGGTAACCCTGTCCTTGACTTTGAGAGTATGCGCATATGTGTGAATTTCTGTTAAGTTCAATCAATTTTTATCTAAAGTTAACATTTTTCAACCAATTCCATTTCCCAAAAATGACTCATTTCTTCTAATTTAGTCATCAAGCAACTTGGAGTGTAATCAAATGATACTTTAGGAAAACTTCCTTAACACACACACACACACACACACACACACACACACACACACACTCTTCTCCTTTTCCTTTTTTCTTTCTCCTTCCTTCCTCCCCTTCTCACTTTTCCTTCCATTCCTCTCTTTCCTCATCTTCCCTTTCTTCTTTCCTATCTAAATCCTTTGTCCTTCCTCTTTTCCTCCCTCCATTTCTCTCTCTCTTCCTTCCTTCCTTTCTTTTTTCTTTCTTTCAGTAGCACATTTTCAATAATAGTGTATGAAATGAAATGTTCTAGTTCAGAAAAGTAAAGTGAATCCTTTGATTCCCACAGAACAATGACATTCCACTTAAAATAACAGAACCACCTGCCGTGTTCAGAACTCTCAGATCTGCTCAGGAGATAAACAGATATCACTGAAACTTTATTAAATCATCTCTCCTTTCCTCTCTTCTCTTCTCCTCCTCTCCCTTACCTTCCCCTTGACAGATAATCATGCTGCAAAGGCAGCATGATTATAATAGGTGAAGATGAGAACCAGCCAAGGGTGGAATCCAGTGGCTGGTTCTTATAGTGCCTATCATCTAGTGAATGGACAGTCAATACCCTACCAGGATCAACTGATGGATAGAGCAGCTTTGTTTTTGCCTCGGCTCCTGTGGTGCTTAGTTCCAAGTACCTGGGCCGGTGCACGTTCAGCTATTTCCACAGTATGGATGATCAATTTTCACCACAATTAAAAATAAATATTAGCCTGTACAGGTTGCTAGGGGGTGCAGTGCATAGAGTGCTAAGCCTGAAGTCATGAAGACTCGCCTTTGAAAATTCAAATCTGGCCTCAAATAGTAACTGCGTGACCTTGGACAAGTGACAATGCTATTTGCCTCAGAAAAATAGCTGGAGAAGAAAATGGCAAACCACGCATTGCCAACAAACCCATAAGTGAAGTCACGAAGAGCTGGACACAACTGAGATGACTCAACAGCATTAGACTATAAGCTCCTTGAGGACAGCAACGGTTTTCATTTTGTATTTGTATCCTCAGACCTTAGGGCAGTGCCCGGCACATGCTAGCTGTTTCATAAAGACTCGATGCCTAACTGATAGCGGACCACAGCTGACCAGTGATTTTTGTAAGATTTATAAGACTCTGATCTTCCTCGGTCCAGTGACAAAGCATCGCTCCACAGCCACACTGGACGCCGAGTATCTTTATCTTAATTATCTGCATTTTTAAAAAATTGCATGAGAATTCACATCACAATTTTCTAAGTGTCATGCATTCATCTTAGGAGGAAATACATTACCTTAAAGTACTAAGACAGTTTTGAATACACTTAACCCATTTGGGTCAGTTTCCTTGGTCGTTTTAGAGAAAGGGTAAATCAAGCAAAGGGATGGCTAGAAGCAAGTGCTTTCCTTTTTTATCCTTTCTTCTGCTATACAGCTCTCGTGAAGGTGTGAAAGCATTAATGATGAAAAATATCTCTTTGAGTATTAAATATTGATTCAGAGTGGGATAAAGAAAGCTGGGAAGCAGTATCTCTAACCTCCAGGGCTCACATTACATGCATTAAAAAATATCTACTAAGTTTTGGATGAAGCCTTCAACATGCTGATGACCATTGTTATATACCTTAAATGTGTCTCTGTCTATTATTACAACACTATTTCCACAGCTACTTTATTTGTTTTGCTGGTTCAAAGAAGGATTTCCGATTTAATGTGGTTATTTCATAAATGCTTTATAATTTTCCATGTGATATGATTAATAATAAATAAAATGAATAATGATGGTTAGTAGTGATGTGAACAGACAAAGTCAGTTGAGCAACGGAACAATGAAATAGCAGGATACAGTGTTACATGCTACCTATTCAGACACAGGAAAAAAAATCTTTTTTTCTTAAATTTTGGGGAGGGGATATTTTAAAAATAAATTAGTGCCTAGTTTCCCTGTCACCTCCAATCTATATATTCCTTCCAAAATGCAAAAAAAATTTATTTTTCTTTTCTTTTCCTAGAATCAATTTTGTTTATGGGAAGGGTGACAAACCCTGAGGCCCAAAAGATGAGGGGAAGAGATATGGATTCACTGTAAATGAAGACAGACTCCAAAGAGAAATGAATGCTTAGAATATGAATGATTGGCCAAACATTATTATTATGAAAGTGCCATTTCTTTTCCTTCCCTTTTTCTGGTACAGACAAATTGGAGACCCTGTGTAATGAGTAAATGGAAAGTTATATATTGGCTTATTGGTGTGTATGTAGTCACTATTCTCTGCATAAATGGTCTTGCTACTTTATAGCATGCATATAAATGCTGTAGGTAGTGAAATTCTTTGAAAATTTTTTTTTATAAAAACACTCATACTAGGACATGGCCAAATGAGATATTAAATTCCTCATGTTCTCAGCTGGTGAGTCACTTATCTGAACCAGTCACTTGAGCTCTCTAGGCCTTAGTTGATTAATCAGTAAAATGAGGGTTTTAGACCAGATGACCTCTGAGGGCACTTTCAGTCATAGATCTATGATCCTATAAAAGTTCCAATAATAGCTATGGCTAAAATGACAGTTTGAAATCTGAGTTATAACTAGGGTAGGACAATGGAGCTTTGCCTAGGGCACATAATTTTAGAGAGTGCTAGCAACAATTAAATTGTTTCTTCTATATTAAATCAAGAATCAATTCTATAGCACATAGCTCACTTCTTTCCCCTAGAGGTTGTGCCCTAGGTGAGCCCTTCCTATTCTAACCCCATTTTACTCCCTATCCTTGGGCTTATTTTGAGCTATAGATTTGCTACTTAGGGGTCTGTTTGAAAAACGTGCTCTCAGAAATAGCTTTCTTCATATTTTCTGTGTTCAGAAAGCTTTCAGGAACTTGCAAATAAGATTCATGTCTTTACAAAATAGTGAGCACCATGAGTTGGTTAAGGTCACTTTTTATATTCATAGGAGCATAGATTTAGAGTTGTAAGAGACCTTAGAGGTGACTGATCCTAAGCCCTTCATTGTACAGGTTAGGAAACTGAGGTACAGAGGGGTTAAGTGACTTGTCCAGTATTACATAACTATGAAGTATTGCAGTGGGATCTGAACAAATGTGTTCCTGACTTCAGTCCACTGCCCTATCCTCCATGCCATGCTAGCTCAAGGTGCTATAGGTAGGCCAAATGTGTGAGTCCCTGGGTTCTATAATTCAGGGCCTAGTAGAGAAATATAGTCTGGGGTGACTGGGGATGAGATTATCAAGGAAGAAGAAGAGACGTACATTCCTCCTTGTTCTAGCTGATTGCTAACACTGCCATTTTGAGGGTCACCCCGTATGACAGATGCTTGCATTGCTCCTATTTCATTGATTCTTTTAACCTCTTCTATGATTTAGGTAGTGCAGTGGATAGAGTGCTGGGCCTAGAGTCAGGAAGACTCATCTTCCTGAGTTCAAATCTGGCCTCCGACAATTGCCAGTTGTGTGACCCTGGGCAAGTCACTTCACACTATTTGTCTGAGTTTCTTCATCTGTAAAAGGCCTGGAGAAGGAAATGGCAAACCACTCCAATATTTTTGCCAAGAAAACCCCAAATGGGGTCATAAAGAATAAGATACAACTGAAAAACCCTGAACATCACCACCACCACCATCTACCAAGGAAAGAGATGCTATGGTTGATAAGCCTCTACCCTAGAAATGATAAGAGTCTAGAACTGCTCAACTCTGCTCTATCAGCCTACTCTTTGCATTGCCTGACCTGCCTTAGCAAGGTTTCAAGCTGTTTCATGGCTACTTGCAACTCATACTTCCCACTCCTGAAGGTGAATGTTATTTATGAGTCTCTCTTCAGCAGAGAAATCTGTAATTCTTCTTGGCCAGATTTCTCAGGCAGTAGCCATGACCCTTGTCTTTAACCTTCTCAGCTAAGCTTCTCCGCAGATATTTTTCCTCACCCAGGCTGCACCACAAGGTATGGAAGTCTAGGTTCAGATCAGGTATATTTTTGGAGCTGTTACTAGAACTTTTAATTATTTTAAAATTTCTTTAACTACTCTGTTCTTTCTTTCCCTTGAAGTTCTAAGTTCAACTGTCACCTACATTATGGCCAGAAACCCATCCAATTAATATCAAATTTAGTTAGCTAATATTAAGTAGCTTTTAGAAAGGAATTTTTACTATATGAACAGCTGGTACAAAAATCCCCCAAATATCTCTGACATATTCTCTCTCACAGGTATGTACAGAATCGAGGGGAAAGTGGACGGAAGTTTAGAGAGTACATGTGGCAGGGATGACATACAGCTCATGATTGCTGGAAGTCTTCCCCCTCTCACCCCTCTTGTGGGGTGCTCAGGGAGTTTCCCTTAGGCCTGATGCAGTCTCTTTACAAGGATCCTGGTAGAGCTGTAGGTCCAATCTCTTCTTGGCTCCCGATACAGATACCACCATCAGTGGATTCAGAGATGCACCTTGGAAATAATGGGGAGATAGATGGTCTAAAAACCTAGGAGCCCTTCAACGTTCATAGAATCCTCTTCTGATCAAAGGGTGAGGAGGGAAGGATACTTGGACACCTGCCCACCCCTACTTCTCCTCCACCCCATAGTGTCTGATTCCCCAGGACGTGCTAGAAAGCCACACTTTCTCTAGTTTCTAGAAATCAATACCTTCTCAACTAGCTTAATAATTTAGAGATGATCCTAGGGGTGTGGTCAACTTTCTTCAACCTACTATGATATGATTCCTGTGAAAAATCATTCTAATTAAAGACCTTTTACGATTTATCTTAAGGCCTATGGTTAGTTGACTGATTTATACATATTTTCACCTAGATGAAGTATTGATACTATGAAGAGTTGAGGAGTTTGGGCTTCATCTTTCCAATGGCAAACAGCTGAATTCAGAAGTCATCACCTCTCAATTAGATGACTAATTAATTGGTAACTAATCAGCCTACTAATTAGCCCACTAATTAGTCTCCTTATTTTAAGTGCTTCCCTTCTCCATTCAATCCTTCCCAAGTCTGCCAAAGGGATGTACCTAAAGCCCAGTTCTGAATGTGTCAGCAAACTCCACTAGCTTCCTATTAACTCTTAGGTCAAATACAAACTTATTTCTTTGGCGTTTGAAGCTCTTTACAAACCGACCCCTAGTCATTCCCCTTTACGTGCACTATGCAGTCCAGCCAAACTGGTCTTCTGGGTTCTTAACACAGGAGGATCCCAGTTCCCTTTCCATGTTTTTCCACAGGCCATCCCTCCATGCCTGAGGTGCACTCCTGTATTACTGCTACCTCTTAGAAACTCTAAGTCCCTTAGCGACAGACGTTTAGCTGAAATGCCACCTTCTATATGCCCTGAACCCATCTCATCTGCTAGTACCTTGGCCCCTCAAATTTATTTTGTATTTATTTGGAATGCAGTTATTTACATACTTACATACTTATTGCCTCCCTTGATGAAATGCAAGCTCCCTGAGGGAAAGACTTTTTTTTTTTTGCCTTTGTATCACTGGCATCCAGCACAATGCCTGGCACAAAACAGGTGCTCTGTAAATCATATTTGTTGATTGACTGCACAGTGATTTGGCTGAATGAACAGAAGATATGCTTAGCAAACACAAAGCTTGGGAGGGAGAGCTAACAAATGAAGGTCAGAATTGGCATCCCAAAAGATCTTAGCAGGTTAGGAAGTTGGCAGAGATCTAATAAAATGAATTGAATAGGGATACATTTATAGTCTTACACCTAGGTTTAAAATGATTGAGTTACATATATTGGGGGGGGGGGGGAGACATGACCAAAAGCAGAACAAGAAGAAAAAGAAAAAGATTTGGGAATTTAGTGGTCTTTAAGCTAGGCCAAAAAGGTAATATAAATAGGCTGTTTTAAGAACAGCACAGTGATCAGGATGAAAGAGAGGAGAGCCTTGCTGAATTCTGATTGGGTCAGATCTCATCTGGAGAATGAGGCTTAGTTCAACATATTTTAAGGAAGGACTTTGATTATATAAATGGTCTGCAAAGAGAAGGAAGGGCTTCAAGGTGATGCCATATGAGGATCAGTGGAGAAGAGGAGGTATAATGAAGACCTGATAACTCCTTAAGTACAGTAAGGATTGTCTTGTAGAAGAGGGTCTAGACCTTTGGGACCACAAGTGTGGATAGAGAAGAGATGTTCAAGATCCAAAAGTCCAACTTCCTCATTTTTTAAGTAGGAAATTGAGGCCCAGAGAGGCTGTGACTTCTCTGCTATTGTACAGGCTGTGGCAGATCTGGAACAGACATCGCCTAAGTCACTACCTTGTGCTCTTTCTCCATGCCTGATTTATTCCTCCTTCGCCCCAAAGGAAAGAAGTAGGGACAGCACGTAAAAGTTGCAGAGACAAACTGAGGTTTATTTAAGCCTTTGAGCTGGTCAGGGCGGAATGAGTCACTTCCCTTCTTCTGAGGTCTTTGAGCACGAGCTGAACTGCTGGATGTGGAGAAAGGATTCTTCGGCAGCTCTGAGTTAAGCCAGATCACGACTGGGGTTCTTTTCGACTCTCAGATTTGGTTATTCTTTGATTCTGCGACTTATTCAAAATCCAGATTTGAGCTAAGAACCCTGAATCACTTAACTATCACATTCTAAATTTAGAGGTGGAAGGGACCTTAGAGGTCATTCAGTTCAAACTTATTCCTTCACAGATGAAGAAATTGAATCAGAGATGGGTGAAAGTTGCACAGGTTGTAAATGACAGAGCTAGGATTGGAACACCTGTCCTGACACTTCAGCTCTAGCTCTTCCTGCACTGCTCCACAACACTTTGCATCTGATTGGTTAAGACAACTTGTCCTCGACACTCAACAGGAACGTTTTCCCTATAGGGAGTTTAGTGGCAGAGATTCACTGACATGATGGAGCACCGTCATAATGCAGCATCAATTTCTGGCCAGGTCTAATTGTCTTCCCTTAAGTGGTAGATGTATGGTTGGTTGACTGTGGGCATCATGTTCATTATAAAAGCTTGGTCCAGACCAAGGGTTCTTAACCCTTCCTATGCCCCTATTGACAAGGCTATGAACCTCTTCTCAGAAGAATGTTTTTAAATGCGTAAAGTA